ACGATGCCAAAAAATTTTGAATATTTTCAAAATTCTACGACGGGGGTCTACGACAGCCTTTTCCATCATAGAATACATGAACTTCGTAGGACATACTCACAAGCATCTCACAAATTACCCCACATGTCTGTTGTAGACCTGTTGTATACCCGTCATGCAACGTATGTGAAAGCCCCTTTAATAACAATGGTGATGAACATAACATCCCCTTTTCTGAGGGGTGGGTACAAAAAACAACACACATTAAAGGAAACAAAACGGGATTGAACAAAACAGAATACAAAGCGGGGTAACACTGCAACCAAAGGGGACTGACATAGACGGGACATAGACTGAAGGTCTAAAGTGCACAGATATAAATAGACAATAACTGAAAAAGCTTACAGATATAAACAGAACAAAGGGTTTTAGTTTTGTGCCTTCCTATACAAAAAAGCATGTGGTAGTAACGTTATTCACAATGTTGTCCATTGCAAATAGCATATTCATCACATTTGCCCAGTTTGGTAGTTTCAGGGTCTGCAAATAAACGTGTTTGGGTCACTATGAACTGCACATTAGCGTATGAGTCAATGAAAACAACTGGTGCTGCGCAAGCCATGCATCAAAGAACTCATTTGCATTTTGACCAACCAAGACCACCTTTTAACACATATGCTACTATAACTATGGTAGTTTCAAAGGCATGAATCACAGCCAGCAGAGCAGTTTGCAAATTAATGTATATAGTTCATAACATATTTTTTTTCTTTCTTAATTGTCACTATTCTCATGTGCCCTATAAACAATGGCCACAAAATGGTGGAAGGTCTAATAGGAAGGGGAGGGTGAAGGGATATTTTTACACATGATTATTATGTTTTTTTTATTTAAAATTAACTTCAGTCTCTCTCCTCCTTGTTTTCATACCTTGAGTGCCATTTTGCATGTCTAAATGGCCCGCATCTTTTCTTCCATAAAGAATTACCAGTTGAACTGACCTCTGTCCCCCAAAAGCCCTTTCCTCTTGAGAGAAGTGTTCCTGGCAGAGCCTGTCAAAGTTTGGTGCTTGTCCTTCTCCTGACATGATAAAATTGCCAGTTTGTTATGGCTTTGCATCCTTAGTTTTAAAGGGAATGACAGCGGCCGATCTGATTAGACATGATGGAACTGAACCTCCATCACTCCCTCAGGGATTTAACCTTAATCCTCCCAGTGTTCCCATGTGGGAACATGTTTTTGGAGGACAATTTCACCCTGTTCCATTTGATGTATTTCAAGACTGTTATTCTTCTTCAATATGGTATAGGCCAAGGTTTACAAAAAGTCAGTTGTTTTAGTTCTGTCTCCACACACTTGACATTTCACCATTCAGACATTTCAGTAATTTTCGTGTATTATAGTATCCTGTATCTGGAAAGCAGCAGACTGGTAATACATATACTATTTTACTTTTTTTCTGAATAGCAGCGTTATACAGATCTGCATGATTAGTGTAAATGGCAATAAGGTTGTTACCAAAATACAGCAGAGGTAGAGCATAAAATTTCAATGTTCCCACATGAGAACACTGGGATCGTGGAAACCAAATTATATATAAAATATGTGATCATGTAGTCCTGTCACAAAAGAAACTACCATTTGATTTATCGCCACAAAATCTGGCTGAATTTGGTTAATCTTTACTATAGCTGGGAGGATAAAGGTTAATTTGTTTCTGACCAACCCTTTTGACAACAGGGCCAGCTGCTCCATCGCTTCATGTCATAAAATTACCAGAATGCATTTCAACACCCCCAGTTTTGATCTGAAATAGTGTTAGAATTTTTTTTTCCCCGATTCAGTTTAGGTCAAATTAGGGCCCTCAGATTGAAGGACCAAAATGCATGGACGAGGAGAAGACTGATACTACAGACATTGACAGCACACAAACTGGAGGACCTATTTGCACTGACATAAACAGAACAAAAAATACAGACAGATGAGACATAACCTGAAAAACCATGGTGTACAGACAAAGACATGACAAAACATGAAGACACAGAGAGGATATAAACCAAAAGACCAAGCCGCACAGACATAGACAGACATGGCTTTCTAATTTATGGACACCAAAATTCACTTTATCTATAAGCACATTGTCATTTATTGCATATTTTAATGAAATGTATATATTAAGATTATGGATTACCCTTTTCTGTAATAAGATCATTAAAAGTCTTAAAACAACCATTGGTTAACGGGTGATGAACTTCAGTAATCTCTTATCTTTCTATTTAAACTGCTTATTATTGTTTACCAATTTATTTTTTGATTTACAATTATACTAGGGTTGCTCCAGAATGGACAGTTTCTGGAAAAAAAGGGTCATCACTCAAGAGTTGTTTGTATATAATTTCAATATTTCAAAGGATGTTTCTATAGGGTTCTGTATAACTTCTTTTTGTTAAGATTTCATAAAATATAAGCTTTTTAGCCATACATTCAAATTCTCCAGAATAGCTCTTTCATATTATGTTCTATTGGATCATGCCAATATAGCATTTGACGCAAATCAAATGCCAAGTAATAATGATAAAAGTTAGGTCACTAGAGTCCCCATTTCCAAGTCTCAAATGTGAACATCCTGCCTTTCTTCCATGCTGAGTAAAGGTAGAAATAATTTTATGCATGTAGTCAAACCAATTCTTTGAAATGACAAGTGGTAGAATTCTTACAACATAATTTACATTGGACAGTATTGTCATTTTAACATCATTCACTCCATTCCATAATGATATTGGCAAATTTGAACATTTTGCTGTATTATTATTCATTTTATATTAAGATTCTCACAAGATCAGTTTATATTCTGAAAGTTTACCAAAACGCCATGTAATTGGCTGATCTTATTTCCATAGCAAGCAGTTCAATTATAAGATTAAAATATAGCTGCAAGCAGCAATGAAGGGGTCGAACACCACAGGGCACCAGGTAAACAAATAATCAGAACAACCCCTGAACAAGACACTAGTCCATCACAGAATGACCAGAGACATTGACACCCACTCTTACACTCACACTTAATACACAGCAAGTCCAACTGACATTACTTGAATGTCTTTGGACTGCCATAGTAAACCAGAATACCCAGAGAAATACCCGCATCAGCACAGGGACAATGCACAAACTGAACACAGAACCACCCCAAACATGAAACCTCCAAATATGCAGTAGTGGCAACCATTTGCACCACTGTATTGCCCCCTACTGTATATATGCAAAGCATAAACATTAGCAGTGTCATAAAATGCAGTGTGCCCTCTTTTTTGGTAAAAAAAAAAAAAAAAACTTTTGAAAGATCAAATCATAATTTCCTTTGACATGAATTTGATAAAACTCACTGGATAAAACAAAGTGCACGGATAGATTTCAATAAATGTAATTATGTTTTCAAATGAATGAGTCAGTGAAAAAACAAACTATTCGACTGGGATTGCTAATATTATTGAACCATCTCCTAGGGAAAAGCAACCGTTTTACAGGTAAATGGCACCATCTGCAGTTGTTAATGTAAAATGACATGTACAAGTCTAGTCCCCCCATGAAAGATAACCTCTATTTTCAGATTAAATTTCAAGGAAAAAAATGCCATCTGGAAATCAGGCCAATTAACACTATTTTGTGCATTAGTTGTACCAGGAGATCAAAAGATGCAGGAGGCATACCCATTTTAGGAGCTAAACACTGACTGCATCTTAGCAGCCCTGCCATTCTGATATTGAACAATGTGTTTCCTTCTAAGCTTGAACCTGGTATGTAATGATGCAAAGACCTACAAATAATTGGTTGAAATATTTCCTTTTCTTTGTGTGGTCTGTGTCTTTTGATGTCCCCTGAGACTAGAGCTGCATTATCAATTGACTCACGATCATTTTGAGGATAATATGAATAACTTCCGCCATGAGTTGAACAATCTAGCTTGTGTCTTTTCTTTTTCATGAGTCATTCCTGATGCAGGATGCCTACAAATAAGAACCAAACATCTGAAGCCATGTCAAATGCTTCCAGAAAGAAAAACAAAAGCTTCACTGATATATCAGTATTTACTGGTAACCTGCTGATCGGAGATACTCTGAAGTCTGTGGAATCATTACCTTCTAACCAACTATTACTTCCATACAAAGCCTCTTCACTTCGCTTGATTAGCACTCTAACAATTGATTCACTCAATTATCACTTTGATTCACTCAATTATCATTTTGAATCTGTAAGGCCTATCAACTCTCTACTATCACTTCTAAATTATTACAAGCTACAATTTGGATTTGATTGGCCAGAAAATAAATTGTTTGATTGTTATTCAGGTACATGGGAACTGGTTGAGGATCAACTAATTATGCATGAAAAGGTAATTAAAGCAGTTCAACCGCACTAATGATTAGCTAATTTTTCAAAACAATTCCCCCAGATGTACTTCGAATGGCCTCAGAGGTTTAGTTGCCATTTGCTTAAGCTCGTATCAGGATATGATTCCAGAAAAAGAAAAAGGCACAAGGTCACCTGATCGCCCCATGGCAGCAGTTATACTTATTATGCATTTAAAAAATTGGGATTTAATTGCACATGCTCAGAATGTACATCCCATGAAAGTGAATCTGCTTGACTGCAAGACATAATCTGATTCCATCCTTGCCAATCCATCATCATTTTGCATTGTATTTATACAATTTTCCAGTAAGGATCCTGAACTTGAATGAAGCAAAAAAATTTGGGCCATCCATCCATTATCTTTACCGCCTCGTCCTTACTGGGATCGCGGGACTCTGGACGAAAGGCAGGGACCCACCCAGGACAGCTCACCAATCCATCGCAGGGCGCAAAACCATTCACATACCATTCACTCTCACACTCATACCTATGAGCAATTTGGTGTCTCCAATTAGTCTGACATGCAAGTCTTTGGACTGTGGGAGGGAACCGGAATTTCCAGAGGAAACTCATGCGAACACTAGGGGTAACATGCAAACCCCACACAGAGAGGCCCCAGGCCGGATTCGAACCCACAACCTTCGATAGTGTGAGGCGGTAGTGCTAACCACTGCCCCACCAGCAAAGTGTGCCAAATTTGACATCATTCCAACAAAGCACTGCTGGGATATGACTCACTTCTTGTTTTGGTGTCTCTTATCGTGAAATTTAATCCGATGACTGTGGCTATATCTGTTGACCCATAAAAGTCCTTTTGACAACTTTTGGTCAGAACCCTCTCATAATGACCCATGTCAAAGCTGATGGTTAATACAGCCAACAGTCTAGAACAAGTACACATAAGTAGTTTGTTGAGAAATTTAATGTAAGTTTTTTTCTCAAAATCCAATATAGTTGAAGAGACTGTTCAATCAATTGAGTCCCAGGGATTCTGGGAAAACGAGGATCATGACTATAGAACAAACTGTTCATAGGTTATAAGGAAAAAAAAGTACTCTAAAATGTGGCCCATTGACGGCGCTGCAGGGAATTATGAATTGACCCCAAATTTGCTGCCAGGATAAATGGCCTTAAAAATTCGGTCATTCTGTTATACGGAAGCTTTAGGATCTAAATAAAGCAGGTGTATCCACGGATGAAAATCAAAACCAAAACAGTATTTTTTTTTAATCAAACATAAATAGTCATTCAAACCTTATCAAAGGCTTTTATACAGAGTAAAAATAGGCACAGAAGATTGATACTGTCTTACAAACTTAGTTTCCTATATTTATCAGAGAATTTTTGGTTTTTCATGGAACTAGTCTGATCTGCATGAATCACTTTTTTTGAAACCATGTTGGTCTTGTTAATATTTTTGCCAAGATTTCATTATCAAGGTTAGTCAAAGATACTGGATGGTATTTACAACCCTGAAAATTTCAGAGAACCCCTTATGTCAACCAAGCAGGGAAGCAATAAAGCATAAGAATGGTTGGATTCAAAAAAGAATGCTGGAGAAAAAACACAACAATAAATTTGGTATATATTTGGTATTTAGACTTCATCTTATTTTGTCCTAAGCAGAAAATATGAAAGAGCCAGCTTACAATTGCCTCCTATACAGCCATTGACTCCAAGCTGGATCTGCACCCACATGGGACCCAAGTCAGCACTACCAGGCCAGATCAAACCCAGTGCTAACCTAGCAATCTGGATTAAGGTTTGGCCACTGCTGTCTTACCTCATTGCTAAATCTTGAAATGATACAAAGTCCATCTCACTGCTGCCAAACCTTTGCCCAATTTATCAAAATAATGCAAATAATCCTCAATTTGAGACTGTAAGCGCTATTAAGACGGACTTCTGTTTGGTTTTTGCCGAGTAGGAGAGCCGCTCTTGCTAGTCACGCAGTGAAACATTGTTCATCGTTATTTTGCACTGAAACACATTCCTCCATAGATAGAATTGAGGAAACCTTTAGAAAGCAACAGGCACTGAGGCTCTCGGGATACAAACCTCCTCCTTTTCATGAAGCATGATGTGGGACTTGAGGCTGGCCACTCGGGAAAACTTCTTATGACACTTAGGACAGGTGGGGTCAACAACGGTGTGCGTTGACTTGTGCAACTCCAGGTTGAACTCCACGTTGAAGGACATGGGGCACTCATCACATCGGTGAGGCTGTCAAAGTCAGCATTAGAAGGAGACAATGAGTCATTTCGCCTTACTAGACACGGCCACAGGAATAAATCCCAAAAAACAAGAGATGGGTTTGCCTTCCTGGCTCAAACACTGATGCTTGTGAATAGTAAGAATGCGGTCGACTGTATGTGTGAAGAAGCCACAAATCTAGAGGTACTTAATAACACTTTAACAGTCCGGTCTACAAATATTTAGGCATTGAGAAAATTACTGACATATTAGCTGTCGACCACAGCATAGCAGAGTTCAAATACATCTTGAGGAGCTGCAGACTTTCATTAAAAGAGCATTTACATCTCAACTAGGAGAAATTGTAGGAATTACAGCAGTTTACAAATGTGACGGTACAATTTAAAGCGGCCAAAAGTAATTTTACTATTGGGTCATTCCATGTCAAATCAACCAAGAATTTGCAGACATCTCTCGGAATTTTGTGAAAGTTTGTGGATGAGTGGGGACCTATGAGTAACGAATAAATCTGAAATATTTTTGCTCAACGCCTCCTAATTAGTGAGTAATTTGTTAACGAAGTTTTGACTAATTAGCGAACCCTTGCGACTTCAAATGCGTGTATCTCCCTTATTATAACAGCAAGAGAGTTGGTTGTGGTCTCATTGGAAAGCTCTTTTCAAGCCCTAGAAGTCTCTTTCTCAACTTTTCTCCATAGAGTCAAATGTAAAAAGTTACAGCAAATCAAAAACTTTAAAGGTGTATTGCAAAAAAATATACTTTTCAAATTTCTTAAAATTCCTGTGAGAAGTGGCTTATGATGTTAAGAAGCTCTCCTGTAAGTTTTGTGAAGGCACTCAAACGGTCTTTGAGCTATGAGCAAATATGTGCAGGTACAACAGTCGAAATTTGCCATTTTCGTCATATTTTACTTTTTATTTTCAACAAAAATGTCTTTAAAGCGTTCATATCACCTTACAAACCGTCTTTATACCTTAAAACACCACAGCGAGTAGTAGAAAATACATTTATCCATGAACTGAATTCAAATTCAAATCTAAAACGTCCCATTTTAAAATTACGAATTTGTAAGGCGATATGATCGCTTTAAGACATGTCAAACATGTCAAATGAACAAAAGATGAATCATGAAGGGTTCTAACATTAGAGAGTGATTGTACTGTAAACCGGGAAATATTCAGATATGCGTTTTTAATTTGGCGTTTTTCACGATGACCCATTTGTCACAAAATTAAAACGCCACGAAAAAGGAAATTTATTAAAGGAAAGACCTACTACAGGGTCACTAAAATGCTAAATTGAAACCATGTGAAAGTTGCAACAATAGCCATGAATATTTCTCACTTTACAGTACAGTTCAGCACAGTTCTTCTCTGTCGTGCTGTTAAAATTGGCGCTGGAATGTCATGACGTGAAGCTTCTGGAGCAGCAAATATACTTGGCACTGCATGTGGCTGCAAACACGAGATTGAGAGTCTTTCACTTTCTCTGCTGGCCGGACGCATTTCGCCAGCCATTGCCTTCGAATCTACGGCTTTCTTAGCTTGGAGGGCAAGGTAAAAAAATGTGCCGATTTTGGGTTATCTCGGTCGAACACGTGGCAATACTTTGCAATACAATAAGGCATTTTTGCCCACAAAAGAGCGAGCAAGGATGACAGCACAAACCGAACTCGTACTTGTCAAATGAAGTTGGCTGCATTACTTGTGGTCGGCTTGGCCTTGGTGGCTTTACGCACGCGTGACGTCAGGCATCCTAGATCTTGTCATATGATCACAACATGGCTGCGCCCCTCACGCTTTACAATTTTCGACAAATAAACCAAAAATTTGGCGACGTAGTAGAGTTGAAACAAAAGCAAAATACTGATATAATAATAATTGGGGTGGATATTTTTATATGGTCATCGATCGATATTGTCAAACTTTAATGATCTCTCAAGTGGAACGGCGTGAGAAATCTTATGTCGACAGTTGCTTCCAGAAACATAGCTGACAGTCAATTGGAGCTTCTGTCAGAGACTTTTTAATCTGAGGTGGATAGACGTTTGATATTTTAGTCGAGAGTTGGCTGACAGGAAGTTTCGACATAATCTGTCTAGTGGAGTAGCGTCTTAAGTAATAAAATTGAAAATCACTTTGGGATTGTTAGTTTGTCTAGCTACTTTTGAAAAACTTCCTATTACCTTTAACTTGTGTGGTTATGTATAAAAAGGATTGAAATTCCAGTAAATATTGCGTTAAACATGATATTCTTGACAACACCCTTAAATTAAAACGGAAAACATACACTTCAAGCTTATGTTGGCTGTTTCTTTTCTAATCCATTGTGGTGGTGTAAGGAGCCAAAATGGTGAAAATTGCGTGACTGTCCTGATACTAATGGACTCGACTGCATTTGTAAAATGTTTCACTTTGCATTAAAGCAAGCCCATCGGTTCCATATGTTACTCCTCTTGAGCAGCCTTCAACTAGATAACAAGGGGGCATGAGAGGCTGCCAATAGAGCTGGTTCCCTGGTATTTTGGCGTGACAGCAAACAGAAGCAGTAAGATGAATTCTGAATTGTATAGGGACATAATGTCGGCCAGGTCAATCACCTGACTTGACTCCAGTTGAGCAAGCATTCCACATGCCAAAGGGCTAACCTCAATGTAATATGCCCCAAGAACAAATAAAAACTGTAGAAAGCAGCAGTGAGGGCCAAGAAAAACACCAGCAGGGGAATCATCAACTGGTGATGTCTACGGGTTTCCAACTAGGATTCCCTACCAAGTTTTTAAAATAAAAATTTCATTGATAATTAAGTTAGTTTGTCCGATTACTTTGGATCCCCTAACACTCAGAAGCTAAGCATTAAAAGTTTCAATTCCTACACGGCTCACACTGACAAAACCCAGAGGAAACATCTTCGCGCAAGCACATCTGTGATTGTGGTGGTGTAGAGTGAAAAAAAATGAAAATAGAATCATTGTCCAAATACTAATGGACCAGACTATATGCAGAATTATCTCGCAGTTAAATATGTTGCATCTTATTCCAATTCAATAGAAAACTGACCTTAAAGAGCATGCCAGTAGTAATACAAGTTTAATTTTTACCAACAGTATAACACCGTCTGCGGGTAATGTGCAAAACCCACTGCATTAGGGTGAGCCTGAGGAGCAAAGGGTGCTTTGGGGAAAATGCAGGACCCAGTTATCCCTGAAACCTTTTCATAAAGACCACTGCCAAACACTCCAGTGAACATCCATGGGGTTCAGTCATAAGACCTCTGAAATCACTTGCCTTGTCATTGACTTCGTGATCACGCATATGACGCTGTAGCTGGCTCTCTTTGGCGAATGACAGTGAGCACACAGTACACTTCTTATCCCTGGTGTCAGCATGACTGAACCCAGAATTCTCCAAGTTGGGCTCCTGTGCTCCTTCTGCAAAAGGGAATAATGGTATCCACACATCTTTGCTTT